TTCACCAATACCTTTTCAACATTTCAATCGTACTTAAAAAAAAAAAACGATTAAGTACCCAAATTCGTCATATTCGATCACTTCGAATGCGAAATATCTCCAAAAAGTAACGAGAGAAAAAAGAAAAATTCAAGTAAGTATTCAGCAAAGCGATAAAAAGCGCTCCATTCGCCTCTTCGAGCATTTTACGGTCGCGCGATCTCACGTCGAGCGACCGATTAAAACGAGGAATTCGCGGAATTTAATCGCTCGATATTGACCGGCAAACGGCCACGTTATCGTCGAAAATATGTATGCCGCGAACCGCTACTGTTCCACGGTAAAAGATAATCTCGACAGGGCAAAGAGCAGAAAACGAAGCGCGAGGAGAGGCGCAAAAAAGCATCGAACCAGTCCTCGCGGACCGACTCCAAACGTGGCGATCGAAACCAACTTAATGGACGCATTTAATAATGATTTATAGCGACGATTATGTCGTTCGATTCGCCGATTGAATATCCCGAGGTGACTTAATTGGGATATACGTTTCTTCCATTGATTTTCGATCGTTCGAATTTCTAATTGAAGCTGCTTATTTATCTGTTTGTTTGATCGAGGGCTGAAATTTTCGAAAATTTAAAATTATTTTCCATTTGTGAAAGATACTTTGGAGAGTTGGTTTTCCAGATTATTTCAAATGCAAGTTAATCATTCGATAATAATTTTTGTTGTGAAATAACTAATTGCCAGATGCATTAACTTTAGGATATAACGAGTATATTTGAGAGTAAAAATTTTGGAAAATTATATTGGAGAATATTTTTTCACAAATTGCGAAAGAGTGGAAATTTCACGAATAGCCATTCTCAAAGCACTTGAGAAGAATATTCTTGAAGAACAATTAAGATAAAAATAAGATGGGAATATATCGTAATCGAAATTGAATATTCTGCGGAGTGATTGCACTTGAAGGTGGAAATCGACGAGAAATCTAAACGATCGGTAATTTCATTTGCATGCGATGAAGGATTGTTTTTTTTTTTTTTTCTTCTTTTTTTGTTCGCATAGAATTGAAATGTGATTTTAATAGCTTTGGTTAACGATAACTTGCAATTTTGTTATGGTTCATAAATTATAAAATTCTTCCCGTGGAACATTTTGCAATAATTTCGCGTGAATATTCATGAAGTTTCGTTTTTAAATGTGCATAACAATTTAAATATTTTGAGATAAAGGAGGATTTTTGTATTGGAAAAAATAATTTGTTGTTTAATGTTTCATTTCACGAAGGGAAGAGAAATAAGAATTTTCTTATTCGAGTGTAATAGTTTAATTACAATATATTCGTGCACCGAAGAACAATTTTTTATTTCATTTTGCATCTCTCGCTGATGTTGTTGATCGAATGAGCGGACGAAGCGGTGAAAATTTATGTTACGCATAAATCTGAGTTTGAGTTTTAATGTTTAAAACAACTTTGAATTATCAAGTAAAAATAAAATCGCGTAAATTCATTTACGTATGAGATATAAAATTATTTTTAATTTAGAATTCCGTTTTTTTTTCATTTCTTCCGTTCTATATATTTTTTTCCTTCTTCTAAATTTATTCAATCAAATAGATTATTTCATCAAATATAAAATATTCGTGAGATTTATGCTTTAAAAAAATTTTTTTATCGAATAATATAGATCGAATATCATCGAACGAAAAAATTTTCTACTTAAAGGAATAACAAAAATTTCATAAACTATCAAAGAGAATTTCCACATTTTTTAAATACGTTCCCTTCGATTTTATCGAAAAATTCAACTGTTTACCCGCGATCGATGCGATCCAAGTCATGTCGACATTTCATTCGAGTCCTGCAGAATGGAACCGCTTAGCTTCCATTTTCCATGGAACAAACACGGCGAACGATCAACCTTTCAATTTCATATCACAGAACAGAAAACTTCAAAGTGAAAAATAAAATACACGATGGAAAAACACTATCAATCATTAAAACCATAAAAATTTAAAATTTAATCAAAACTCTAGTTATAACTCTATCAAAATCCTCAAATTTATCATTAATTATTTTAATAATCCAAAACGGGACAGTAAAGAAAGATAAAGTTGTTAATCGAAACAAGTGAAAAAAAATTTAAAAAACAATTCTCGATGATAGGAATTCATTTCATTTGCATTTCCAGTAGAAAATGATTATTTTATTTATATTTCCTTCCTCTTTTTCGACGATCGAATATTTGCATTTCGACGTCGAACAAATTACAAAGATACGTCAAACGTCGAATTTATTGCAAAGTTTCCATGTTCCATCATCGTCACGTATTATTTAAAGAGAAAATCGGAAAAGCAATGGCGCGTTTACAGAGAACACATCGACGATATTCGTCCAAACGGATCAATTATTATATTCCAACGTTGTAAACATTTTATATTGATAAAGAGAGTATCATTTGATGCAGGAAGGAAATATCGACTTTGATAAAGGATAATAACATTCTCGATTGAGGTTGAATCGGGCGGGAAATTTGCATAGAATTGGTATTATTGAAACGAGGGAGGAACGAGTTAAAGTAAAGATCGCTTGGATACGAAACGATTAAGAACAATTGAAAACTCTTTGCAAACGAATTTTCGAATAAATTGATCCCTGTATGAAATATTCATATCGGGTGTACGATCAATGAGCGAAACGATTGAAATATAAAGAGACATAAAACATATTTGCACCGTAAAAATGGCTGAAGAAAGGTTTACGAGTGACGATATCTGAAAAATAATAATAATAAATTGAATTTTATGATTTTGTAAATGCGATTTTATCGTTTCCAAGGAGTGGAGAGATATTCGTCGAACAAATAGCGTTGATTTTATATGAAGAATATTTATATATTTATGAATTGGACTAATCGTGAAATGTAATGTCATAGACATCGAAAATTGTTGAATTGTTCGACGAAATAATGAATTGAAAGATGAGATTGGAGGATGTGGATTAATATATCTGTAAATTCAATTCATGATCAAAATCATTGAGACGAATTTCGACAATTAAAAGCATGAAATTATTCTACGTTTAATCATCGAAATCGTATTAATATTTCAACTTTTGTTCAAATATTTTCTCTGAAAAGTTCTAAAAACCAAATTTTACACCATCATGAGAATTTATAAAAGAAAGAAAAAAAATATTGTTCAAATAGCAAAAGATCTAAGATTTTTAAAATTAGAAATTAATTAATAATATATGTATTATTTACATGTAAAATATTCAAAGAATATTTTAAGATCAAATTCTAAAATACATACCCGACAGAGCTCAATCAAAAATTCGACATAGATATGATATAAATGAATTTTCGAGATTCATGAGAGAGTCACTTCCGGTTGAACGGAACGGCGACTAACCAACAATATGGAGGAATTATTTACGTCACGTAGACGCGAGACAATCACGAATTTGTCACTTGGATCGGCATTTGTATTTTATCGTGCAAAGGCAGTGTGTCACTGCGAATTCTCCGTGTCGGCCATATTTATTCCTCGATTAATATTCATCCAACGATCCTTCTATTTTTCCCCTTTTTCTACGACCACCTACTTTCGCACTTCTCTTTTCAATCCGATTCGTTTCAACTATACTCTGTTATAACTTTCATTCTTTTCCTTCTTAATCTTTTTAATCACTTATTGCGTTTACTCCCGGCGACAATACAAATTGAGACTATTGTTAAAAATCTTTCATTCTAAATAATGCAATCGTTGAAACCTCTCTACAAGATCGATAAAATATACTCTTAAAAATAAACTCTTAAGCAACTTCAATACGCAATCGAATCTATAATTTTTAAATTTCATTCGATCGTTTTTTTTTAAACGAATAGTTCATTAATTTATATCTCTCTCTGTACACCGCAATTTGTTTCAAAACTGTAGAATCTTTTGTTGGAAAAATCGAATTCTATAGGATTAGAAGAGTAATCATGAGATGTTCTAAAAATAATGATAATTATCAAAAGTGTACTGTTTACTCGGCGAAAAATTAATCGTTCTTGATTTCTCGTCGCACGCTTTCTCCCGTTTAAAAGAGTTTGGCTAAATGTGTCTATACAGGAAGACATAAAAGAGCCTCTGGAGAACGAATTGAACGATGTGCCGGCGTACAATGGAAACACGCACGCTAGCCGGAGAAAATTTAATCAAACACCGTTCCCAATGCACAATACGCAATGGAAAAGGAGCATAAAGAAAAAAAGATGGCGGTAACTAGAGAGAAGCGAGGACAATGTTTTCTTTCATTAATTTCGCTGCCTTTCTGTTCGGACAGAATACGCAGAGGAAATGAAAAATTCATTTCGTCATAAATAAAAATTTCATTCATTTCGTCGAATAAAAAAAAAAAAAAAAGAAATAATCAGAGTAAAATAATACTTATTATTTTTACAACAAACGACTATCGATCATTCATACTGAATCTTTCCACGATGCGAAATAATTAATATTTTCTTCCGTTCCGTTATTGTAATTTATTCGAATCGTATCATTCAATTTAAATTAACTTATTTAATCTTATAATCTTTTTCTTTTTTTTTTCTTTTTTTGATTTTTTAATTATACATTTGTATTATTTTTAAATACAAAGAAAAGTTTTTTTTTTTACTAACATATTTATAATAACGAGAATGACGCATTACGTTGTAAAAATATTATAATAATTAAATAATAATTATTCTAATATAATCTCCAATATTTAAATCAATTGTGACATTCTCATACCAATACCAATCGCAAAATAACACTAGCGTACAAGAGAATTTTCCTCCTTAAGTGCCTTGCAGTGCCATCTAATAGAGCACGAAGTAACTAAACTACTTATTCTCCATTCTCTATCTCTTATTATCAAATAGAACTCGATTATATTACGAGTAAACAATCAAACATGCAAAATTATTATAAAAATACGATACGATAAAAATTATTTTCTTATTCCATTCTTGCTTTATAACAAACATAAGGAAAAATTAATTTCGTAGCTGCGTTAGCGTAATGGCTAACGTGGCAGACTTTGTTCAAGTCTTCTCCCAATTTTACACGAACGGTCGTAGGTTCGAATCTTTGAGACCCTCGTTTGGAATTTTTATATTGAACAAAGTATGTCATGCAATTGAAATTTATATTCATAGTGCATATTCGTATAATTTATTCCTCGAGGTTCATACAGTGATGAGTTTAAACAGTTTACACCCCGAGTCTGGTCGATCGAACTTCAATTTCTGGGGATCTCGTCCAGACTATGAAAAAAGTAAACGTGTAGAGTCATAGTTACGCTGAGTATGAACTTCTTCTTTTTAATATTTAATTCTTCTATGTTTTACCTATATATAATATTCGTTTTAATTTGCAAATAATTAATATCACACGAATATAGTACAATCGATCGAAAATCAGAGAACGTTTTCCTAAAAAAATTTGGAAAAAAATATTTATGAATTCGTAATTCCAATATATTCAATTTGAATTATTCACACGATATTATCGGAAAAAAAAAAATCGTTCAATAATTTTTTCCATCACGTCATACAATAGTTAGATTATCAAATCGATGCATGATGAATATGTAATTATCCTTCAATAGAATTCACTTATATACGCTCCAAGAGAATTTTCAATTTTATCACAGCAATGTCGACTGCAATAGTAACTGTATATTGCTTGTTTTAATGCATACCTCTCACATGTTGTACACCGGATACGATGCGACTCTAAAATTCAAAACTCATTACAGAGTAGGAAAGGGAATGGTTACACACAATTCCGGAAATAGGTCGGTCCGCGGTCAGCTGGCAATCACCACGTTAATTACCATGTTAATTAGTGAACAGATCGAGACTGTTCTGTCAGTCAACGCCTCTTCGCTGATCTTAGCAGACACTGATCCCTTCCCCCTTTCAAATTATTCAAGAGAAACGCAACTAGACAGCAGGTTTTCACCACGCGTCGTAATCAAACCAATAGAATTTTAAAATAATTTTCGTAATGGCTGCAGCTCGAGCACACATATTATCTCGTGCGATGAAGATGAATATATATAATTTTATTTTTGAAGGAGAAATATTTTGGAACGTGATCTGAACGAATTGATATCACGTTTCTTTCTTTCCTTTTTTTTTTTTTTTTTAGTAATAAATTGGAACGAAGCTAAGGTATTTCTTTGATTCTGAAAAATGGAGAATGATGTTCTAAAGATTGCTGGAAACGTTACGGAGCAATCGTGGGAAAAGTTTAAGCAGTTCACAGCTGAATCCAGAACCTTCGTACAGGGAAAGTTTTGTTTGTGTTTGTGAGATGATATTATCCATTTGCTTAAAGATAATAAAACTTTCGTGTTAATTTGGTTAGAGAATATTGGATCATTCAGAGATGAAATTAGTTGATACTATTTTAAAACGAAAAGCTAAAAAAAATTGTACGGAGAACGTGACTTATATTACGTTACAATTAACATTCGCTAAATTTTTAAATTTGAAAAGACACTGAGAAAAGTATAGAAACGAAAAATCTGTGGAAAGTGTCGAGAAGAAGGAAAAATTCGCGAATTATCAATTCCAAGAATCAATTTCCAAGAACGAACACATTCGAAGTCGAGAGAGAAGGAAATATTTGCCCGAAACTTGATCTGAATAACTCTCTGGATTGTTATTCCATCCAATTATCGAAGGTATTATTTTAACGAAAATTTCGCAATATTCGGCTCGGCTAGGTAGATTCCACGTTTCGAAAAACAAAATCGAGGAGGCATTCGAACGACGAAACTGTGCCAGAGGCTTTATTAACCTCGTTAGCTGGGAATCACGACGAAGCCGAATAATATTTCGGAATCAAAGAGGGTAACAAGGGCGGAAGTTCCTTTTGTGACAATAAGGTTACCTCTTCACATTGCGAACATTATTTCTCTTGGTCGATCTTCGTTTCTCGAAACGTTTTCTCCCAAGTTTCTCGCGATGTATCTCTTTGTTCCAGCCATTCATTTTTCTGGGACACGTTTCGATTATGGTCACGCTTCGAGTGATCGACTATAAGTAAAAAAGAAGGGCGAAGGGAAAAGAAAAGAAAAGAAGAGGGGAAATCCTTCTGTTCATACTTGAATTTATGGCTTCTCCTTTGAAGAACTCGTGCAATTTTTATTTCTCGTTCTGCTGCTCGCTTTGTGGCTTTTCATCATCCGTATCCTTTATCTCTGCCCGTTTTTCTTTAACAATCTCGCGTGACACGAGTTCAGAATAAAAGAAAAAAAAAAAAAAAACGGAAGGGTCAAAATAATGGAGTAATATAACGCTTCGGAAAAAGTGGGATGAAAGATTTAATTGGTAATTCGTTTTCTTTCGAACGGAACTTTCTTCGAAATGAAATTTTAACGATCACTTCTAATGAACTTTAATAACATCGTTTTTATTATTATAAATAATCAAAATGATCCTGCGATTTCAATTAAAATCGATTCAGCCGAATTCTTCTCTCTTCTACGCGAGAAATTTCTGTCTCTCAATTACGTAAAGACTTCCTGTTCCACACACTTATCTATTTTTTTTTTTTTTCTTATGTAGTAGAATCAAGAAACGTAGATCGTTTCGAGATATCCTCGATTCGAGAAAATTTTATTTATCATTATAATTAATTCGTTAAAAATATTTTTGGTAAATTCCGCTTTTTTTCTCTTAATTCAAATATAAATACCTTAGTTATTTTTAAATTTTCTCAATTGTCACGTGAAAACATATATATGCACACGCCACTATCGAATGATAAATCGACATTTCAATGCCGTACGTATACATCCAATATCAACCACATAATATTTACATCTCTTTCGAACAACGCAGACAGCAATACCATTCCAGAGTGTCCCTCGTTCCCGATTGCCTATTATTACGGCGCCCATCGACGAGTACACCTCGAATACCAGCACGCCTACCTGTACGCGGGATTAATTATTGATCGAGCTTCGCCGTAGCTTCGATTGATCGTTAATTCGGGGACGCGTAATTAATTAATGCGTCGTGTCGGATGCATCGGACGCTTACAACATCCTGGGAGCAGAGATATCGCGATATGTTTCAGTGAAAAGCTCGCTGCGAATCCTTACGGATATTCGACCGGCCGCTAATTAATCTGTTCGTCGAATTCGCGATGGAAATCGCACGCGCCATTATTGACCGGTGGCTATTGGATACTTTCGTCGTCACTTGGTGAATTAAATTTATTTAGAAACTTGTTCTTTCTTTTGATTTTATTAAACTTTAGTTTTTTTTTTTTTTTTTGCAAGATTAATAATTTGGATAGTAGACTCAACTTGGTCAATTATTCGTATCAAATTTTTGAGTAAATTCAAAAGAATTTCTTACGAATTTCTTATTCATTGAATTAAATGGTGAATTAAATTTATTTAGAAACTTGTTCTTTCTTTTGATTTAGTTAAATTTTCTTTTGTAAATTCAACTTTATTCCATTTCTAATAATATTATTCGTATCAAATTTTTAGGTAAATTTACGAAACGAAGAATTTCTTATGAATCTCTTATTCCTTAAGCTTTGTTAATACTGTCGAAAATTAGTGAACGACAGGACGAAGTAAAATTGAAATATAATTCTAAAATCGATTCTTCGTTTAAAGGATAAAAAATAATTCAAAACAACTGTTAAACGTGTTAATTGAGACACGGTATTCCGACTTTTTGTCACGATCTTCCATCGAGATATTTTAAGAAGGAATATCATATTCGTGCAGCAACATCAGAATAGGTGGGATGAGAAGAATGAAGCCATCTCGAGGTTAAAGCAGTGAGAAAAAGAATTCTCCTCCGAGGTTAAGGGCAAACAAAGAGGGAAACCGTGGACGGGTCATCCGTGTGGAAGATAATAATATTCGAGCGCGCGAAGTCGAGGGCGGTTGCACAATGGGCAGAATAATTCCTGGGGAAACCAGTGTTATTATCTATGAAACACGCCACTTCTTCACTTTACATTCCATTAAAACGGTTGATCGTTCTTGTTCTTCGAGAAAGTGTGGAAACGGAATGATCCATTGTAGGGGGAGGGAAAGTGTGTCTCTCTTTTCATCGAGATGATTCGTGTCCCGGAACGGAGAGATGATATCGTGAAGAATCTGCGATTTATTCAGAGTTTGGTAAATTTTTATTTCAGGGGTGAAGATCGAGAAAATTGTAAGAATTAGTTTTGCAGATATTTCGATTAAATCGTGAAAATTTGACGATCTCGCGAGGATATGAAATTCGATTCGACGAATCGAGATGTATCGATTTATAATCTTTCGAGAAGATTGATTCAATTTAAAGAAGCTGTTCATTACTCAATTATTCAATTTCTACAGAATCTCCTTGCTTGTACATTGATTGTTCTTTATCCATAGCGAAGGTTTAATCAAATGCGTAATCGATTCTAATGAAAATCTTGGAATTAATGAATGGTCGATAATGATTATTCAAAGCACACTTCGATCGAATACACCTCGATAATGAAATTGAAACCTTAAAATTTGATCGAATATATATCCATTGAATCGAAATAGAATATAGAAAAACTTTATTCGATGAGAAATTTCGATTTAAATAGAGCGATATATAGGATAGATGTGAAAGCGAAATGTTTGAAAGCACAGTGAAGAAGAGAATAGGGAAGGGCGCCACCAGTCGGGTAGAGCCCGGCGGCAAGAGGGCCCCGTTCCCTCGTAACCTCGAGGGTTTTTTTGACGCCAGGTACGGCGTGGGTGGGCCCAAAGCGGTAGGCTGGACCAGCCAGCCTTGTATCCGCGTCACGATTCGGTTTTTGTAACGAAATAGCCCCGGATTCCGCTTCTAACTCGCTAATCCGATCCCTCTCGAATCACCTTCCTCGATTTTCATTCTTCTCGCTTTTTCTTTTTTCTTCTTCTTCTTCTTCTTCTTCCCCTCCAATACGTTTCTCTATATTTTTCTATTATTATTATTATTATTATTATTTTACTATTATACATGATATAAAAATAACGAGGAAATATTAACGAGGATACAAACGATTTCTAGTAGAAATGCTCGCCCAACCTGTTTGGGGATTAAGATATAAGTTTCTTATTTTCTATCCTTAATACAAACTTACATTAACGGTTGTTTCTCGTCTTTCTATATTTAATGCTCATTTACTTGCTCGCGAGATAAGTAAATAACGAAGCTACAATTTTCCTTGGACGATCGTTCGTAAAAAATAAATTTCGAAAAAAGTAGTTGTGGCATCTCTTACCACGCGGGCGTCGCCAACTTCCAATATCAAAATTCCAATCAGAATTCGGCAGAATAATGGCTCGACGAGAGTAGAACACCACTTAATTCGCGGTTTCGATTATGCTCGCAAAACTTATTCGAAACAATACCACCTGGTGGCTTTGGTTTTCGAGCGGTGCGCAAGACGTCTTGTTTAGCGCGAGCCTTGACACGATAATTGCGTCACGACAAGTTGGTAATTGCCCGGCTTTGATTCGCCACCGCGTAAAGATCGTCGATTTTTGCGATCAGCGAACACGCGGCTATTCAACGTCGCATGCTTGATTCATTTAAGCAGAGCGGTCGTCTCGTTAACGAGAATTATATTTTATTTCTTTCGTCCATCCTGCGGAATCCTGGAGAAGGAGGAGAGGTGAGGAAATGAAGATCTTGGAAAATTTTTTTTTAGAATTTTTAAAATTTTGGAGCTGTGAAAATGTTTAATTGGAAATTGGTTCGATTTGTTGCGTTTTGTTTTGGAACCATTTTTGATTGATAATTAATGCTATATTTGTGTTAGGTTTCGATGAGGAAGGGATTGGAAGAAATAATGGAAAAATCGACATTTTGGAAAGATTTTGAAGTTTCGATTCTTTTTTAGAATTTTTAAAGTTGGATCTGTGAAAATGTTTAATTGGATATTTATTCGATTTTGTGTTACAGGTGATTATTATTGATTGATAATTAATATTAATATTTTTGTTAAGTTTCGATGAAGGAGGGATTGGAAAGAACAATGGAAAATCGACATTTTGGAAAGACTTTTAAATTGAAGTTTCGATTCATTTTTAGAATTTTTAGAATAGAGTTGTGAAAATTTTTAATTGGCAATTTATTCGATTTTATTATATAGTATTGTATAAGTTCGGATAATAATAAATATTTGCCAATTTTTAATCAGACAGAAAACCCTTTTTGAAATTTTCACAACAAAGCGGAGAGATCGAGTACATTTTGAATCGAAATATCCAACGTAGTTAATTATTTTCAACTCGCATTCCAACATTTTCTGATAATTGGTTGTAAAATCTATCGATAAATCAGTGCCAGACAAAATATCAGACAGATATCGTCGAAATCTGATTCAAACCACGATCGACGAACCTCAACCGACCATATTTACGTTCATTATCCACGCGACTGGACCAATTAACCGAAACGAAAACGTCCAAAAGTTGAATTTGCTCATCCAAATATTAGAATGGAGTCGTTAAACGATACGATGTTTCGTGGATTAATTAAAACACTCGTCGTGTTTATGTAAGCGGACTCGTGACGCTCGCGTTGAATCAACATAGGTGTCGACCCGATTATACAATCCGTCTCGTAACAAGCCAAGCAATTGCAATGATGCTTTCAGATCGTTGCGAATTATGTGTCTATTCCATTCGTTTCGATCGAATCGTTCCATTTTTTCGTCGATGATTATTCATTCTCGAACGAGAACAAAAATGTTCGATGCCAAGCGAAACTTGCCTCGATCCTCGCTCGAATCTTCCACTCAAAAACCACGTTACATTTTTCACGCGTGTAAAGAGCGTATGAGATTGGTTGAATTTCATTCACGAATGAGCGCGTTTTCAACGACGTTCGATTCCAACGATTCCCATTCGTTTCCGTTTATTGGCTCTTGAATTACAATTTTTTCGATTACAAGATTTTTCGATCATTCGTGTGATGGAAGAAAGGTTTAATGGATTGGAAAGTTGCAACGGACTGCTCGATTGTCAAAGCTATTCGCGATATCATCTGTTTACAATGCAATCTGACGACTTTTCTTGTTTGGACAACGGGGGTGTTTCCGCGTGTGTAAAGGAGACTCTTCATTACATGTGCATATATGGCCACGGTAAATACAAACGCAGAGGATTAATATAAGCTGAAACATTACACGGGCCAATTCCCATAATAGGCTTCATTCTCTTCTCTACAAATTCCTGAACCTGAACAAATAGATGCAAGAAATTGTGACAAACATCTCTCAGAATCAAATCGCAAATCATTCCAGCTTTGATCCGATCGTTATCCTCCATTGAACCGCATCGAACTCGTCCTACTAAAACCTTCTACTCCTACAAAACGAAAAAAAAAAAAAAAAAAGAAGAAAATCGGCGCAGTCACTCATCGAGACTCCTCTAATCCAGGTGCCCCCTAAGAGCCACGCGCTCGATACACCGAGCTCGAGCCGTACACCGAGCGCGCCACGATTGAGAAAAAGAGAGAAAGAGAGAGAAAGAGAGAGAGAGCATCGATCCGACTCTCGATCCAATCGGTCGCGGTTCTCGCCGAGAGGACTTTCACTCGGCGTCCGTTGATCGGCCGAAGCGGCGAACGAGCGGGCGAAGCGGAAGGCAGAGAGAAGAGGCGCGAGGTGAAACTCCGTCCCTCTCCGCCTCTGGTCCCGGGTTGACTGACCTCGATAGCGAAAGAAAGGAGGTGGCGGTGTTCCGCGGGAAGCGAAGAAGGAGCGGGTTAACGGCGACGACGGCGACCACGGCGACGACGGCCGCGACAACGACGACGTGCGCGACGAGGAGTGGCCGAGAAGAAGAAGAGCAAATTGGTGCTCCCGGTAGCAGGGGCCCATGAGCGGAATGGAGGAGAAGCTGCGCGGCGTGACGAAGCGCGGGAGCAGGCACGGTCCCCGTGCAGCGGGGCCAGCCGCCTCCGATTGGCCGGCCGCGTCTGGGTCCGGTGGTGGGGGAAGGGGCCAGGCTACCCCCTCCAGCTCGCAGCCAGCCGCGTACAACCGCGAGAGCCCGGGCAGGCGGCAGTCCTCGCGGGACGGCGTCGAGCCGACGGGCCAACAGGCCCCACCCGAACACGGCGAGCTCCTTTTCAAGGTCCTGCCCTCTCTCCTGATACACACGTCTCGAACGAAAGAGAATCGGTGGTGTAGGGATCACCTTTTTGCGCCAACCCTTACCGCGTTTGCAACCGGGTATCCACTGGCGCGTGAATTGTTTGCGAACGAACGAACGCACGCCGACGTGGATTTGCGTCAGCGGAGATCCATCGACACGGTAAACAAAAGTGGACGATTGATTTTGCTTACCGTCCTACGCTGTGTTGCTGCGGCGAAGGAAATTTATTTGCGCTCGTGCTTTTCTTTTTTTTTTTTTTTTTTTTATTCGACGATGGAAGGTGCGTGGGATATTTTTTTTTTTCTTCTTTTCTTATATGGGCACGAATCATTTTCTTCTCGTCGCAAATTTATTCGAAAAGTTTGTCAACGATGGACAGCGAATGAATGTTTAGTGGATACCCGGTTTTCGAGTTTTCGTATAATTGAATTCGTATAATGAATTGAATATAATTGAAACGACGATACCGTGCGCAGTTTTAGATTATATTATTTGACTGATTTTTAGGGAAATTAAGAAAAACTTTATGATGATTACTTCACTTTAATTATCTGATAGCTAACTTTCGATCACGTTATCACCGTTTCCAAACGCAACTCTAAAATTAACGAGCAAAAATTAACTTTTTCAATCAAGAATAACATTTTTATGCTTATAAAGTGTAAGCATGCTTGTAAGTAAGCTTCTACACTCTTTTTTCGCAATCACGATCTTTTCAGCGAGTTCATTCTTGGAAGGAAACCACTTTTCCAATTTCACTCTTCTAATTTTAGTCTTTCCAAGAGGGAAACTTAATTTTCAGAGTTACTTTATAACACCATTGCTGGCCATCTTTTAATCTATTTATAAAACATTCCTATCCCGGTAATAGTCCGTGGAAATTACTAATTTTATCATTTATTTCCATTTCTCCTATTTCTCATATGCTAATAATCCACATTTTAACGATTTACGATTGATCGAGTATGATCGTTTGACGAACAATTTCACGATCAAAATCCAAGTGAAAACAAGAAATTACTTTGACTACAATTGATTTAGATCAATAATTGAATGAGATAATCACTTGAATGCGTTTGGACACGAACTCGTTACGTGATATAATTGGATCTTAAATTTAGCTTTCGTTGAATTAAACGAAAAAAAAAAAAAAAGAAAAAACGGTCGTGGAATTTTAATGATTTCATTTCATTTTTCTCATCGTAAATAAATAACGAAGGATCGTGCATCACTGTTTTCTTTCTATTAGAGATTATATGGATAAATACCTTAACGGTTGAGTCGAGTTTTATTACAAGAGAAAATTATAGAAATTAGGAATATCGTCCTATTTTCTTTTAAGGGATATAAATAATTTAAGTTTAAAAACTGCGAAAATAGATGCGAAAATGATCAAGCGAGAATTCGATTCGAGAAAACTTGAAGATTTCATTGACATTTTCACAGAAAATTTGTACGCAACATAGGTGATGCTACTAGGCGACAGCGGAGTCGGGAAAACCTGTCTTCTGACGCGGTTCAGAGACGGAAGATTCCTGTCTGGCAACTATATAACCACCGTCGGCATTGATTTTAGGGTGAGAAATTATAAATCTTCATTAGGAACGAACGTAAACGAAGCGATAACGAATCGATTATCGTGATCGAGAATCAAAGAGACGAGAAATAAAGCCAAGTGACTGTTGTGAAAATAGTTTGAAAATGAGAAAATTATTTATTGGACAGAGTATATGGATTGTTTCTATGTATTTTCAGAACAAAGTGGTCGTCGTTGACGATACGTCTATCAAGCTTCAAATATGGGACACGGCCGGACAAGAGAGATTTCGAAGCGTGACGCATGCCTATTACAGAGATGCTCATGGTAATTATGCTATGTTGATATGAAATTTGTGCACGGTGTTGCCAAACAATTGACAAAATTATCATTGATTGTTTGCGAGAAGTGGGAGTAATTTTGAATCGTTTATTTTAATTCAAATTGTTATAGATTAGCGTAGAATAAAAAAAAGGAAAAAGAAAAAAAGTGTATAAAGAGTTAGTTACAATTAAAATATATCCATAATTTTATTCAAATTTAATACGACAAACTTATATCGCGTATACTGTATCAGTTGATCAATATTTATTTTCGTTAAGAAAATAATTTTTCAAATGGTCGTTTAAAATTTTCAAATTTATTACAAAAAATATCTAATTATAATCGTTTTATAGATTTGTTTCCATTTTTTTTTTTTTTAACTTCGCAAAATATTAAAACTGACAGAAGAGGCAAATTGCAAAATATTTTAATTGCATTACCGTTTTTATCTAATCTCTATATTTACATAACGCGCTAATTAGAATCGCTAATTAGAATCGCTAATTAGAATCGGTGTAATAGTTAGATTAGATTAGTCACGTGTAAATTTAAATACGTATTTCTTTTATCTTTCGACATCTTTCTAATTGCTGCCAGTTAGAGAAATAATTAACGATATGAATAGCGTGGATTAAAAGGAATTTTTCATAATAATTCCAGAAGAGGTATAGGCAAGAGCTCGTTTCGCCTATACAATCAGTTTTCCATTTACAAACAGCTTTGCATCTAATAATCACGAGACAAGGCGATAGCGAAATTGCTAGTTGGACAACTTGTCTGGAGAAGCAGGAATAGAGGACAATAACATGACAATATTCATTGCGAGGCATAAATTAGCGGATTCTCCGCCGTGTCTATGATTTCATTACAATAATAATACCTGTGTCATATACGTCTGTGAAACTAATTTTAACCACGCGATACTAATCAAATCTGGTCGCGCATTTGTACAATTTATTATAGATTTGTAATACAAGATAATTTTAGTTATTTCGCAAGTTTATTTATTGTGCGACATTTCTAATTCTAAATCATGTAATATGATATCGTTACAAAAAATTGGCGAACGAGATAAGTCAATTTATTATTACCAATTATGTATCAAGTTTTTGCTGATCGACTAATGAAAAAGAATGGTTATCACGTAAAAAATTTACGACGTTTTCGCGTAACTGGTATGCAAAAAGAATAAAAAAAAAAAGAAAAAAAAAAATCGGAAAATCCACAGATAGATGAATATTTATGTAAATTGTGTTTCTATATTATTGCTTTAACTACGTTTCAACTATACAGAAACGATTTCTTTGAAGAAAACTTTCTAGAAACAGCGAAATGAAAGTACTTGGACAAAACGTTCTATTACATTTCAATTTAAATGATGCATGTACATTTTTTTAGAAATTACTTACATTCAATCTATAAATTTTAAAATAAAAAAGAGAAAATTAAAAACTGAATGAAGATAAAAATTTTAATTAGTAATAATTCCATTTAAATTCTACATTTTTATTTCTCAATTTTCAACTACTTCCATCAATGGCCACACTTTTACTACCAACCCAATAAAATAAATTTCCCTTAAAATGTTTCGAAACAATGACTATCGATTTCTATCGATACAATGACGGTATGATAAAAATTAGAAAAGTCAGTTTTTCTACCAACCTTTTATAATCTTTCAAAAGCAAGCGTTGCCAAATACAACGAGATAAATTTTTCCTAAAATGTTTCGAAACAACGACTGTTCTCATCGATAGTGATGCGTGGATAAAAATGAAACAAGACTTTTTTGCATCTCTCCATAATGTTTCAGAAACAATCGAGTACTTTTGCTACCAACCGAGTAAAATAAATTTTCCCTAAAATTTTCCCTAAAATGCAATAACCATTTTCGACGATACAGCAGCGCCGAAATAGGTCGTGGAACGATTCGGAACTAAAGGATGGCGTTCATTTTGGAAAGCTACTTAAGCGAATTCTAAGGGTTAAAAAGAACGGTGGAGGAAACTCGGCGTCCGCCGTAGGGGGTCGGCCATTGTTTGCGGGGAGGAACCTTCTTTCACCGTAGATGCAGCCACGACAATAGTCGGACGTCTCAAAGGCATGGTAACAATTACGACGTGGAGACGTTTCGACAATAGTGTCTCCATCATCGGATATTGCTCGAACGATCGAGCTTTCGTCTTGTGACGAGCTTTAAGCCGTCATGAGAAAACTGAATTTTTCATGGCAGAAAAAAGAAACAACATTCGATTCTTGTTTTCATTAATTGTTGTGGAACAAGTATGATCAATTTTGTTCAGATCTAAATAGAATTATTATCTAGAAGTATTTAATTATCTGATAGGTTTTTGGGTCTGCAGCCACGTGTTCAGGTTAATGTTTTGTTTTATGATTAGTTTTATGAGTGTACAGTTATTCGTTACTTTAACACTGTGAAATAAAATTATTCAGAATTTTATAAGTTTTTATAAGAATTTTAAAACTAAAGAAACTTTAATTTTCAATAAAAAAATACAAATTAAAAGAACGCTCGAACATTTAAAAGAATATTTTTCCGAGAAAATTCAAATTGAAGGAGCTGTATGCAGCAACTTGTTTCAAAAACTTCGAATAATATCCCGAGAGAGTCATTCTTAAGAGAGAACAAAGGCAAAGACACACTTAATTTCCTCGCGTTTCAATTTGCCAACCCGTGAAAATATTCGTTTCACGCGACAAAAACGAGCGAAATGGTTATAACGAATAACGAAACAAACGCGTGTAAATTCCTCTGATGATAAAAAAAAAGTGAATAAACGAGCTGTATGCGGTATTTTACGCGTAACGTGAAACATCGCATAGAAACTTTTTGTCTCCGAGCGTCTATCAATCGCGAGTATCACGGCCGATTGCATAACGACCATTATTCGTTTCAGCTCTTTTATTGCTGTACGACGTGACGAACAAGACGAGTTACGATAACATCAGAGCCTGGTTGAGTGAAATTCGGGAACACGCGAACGAGGATGTGGTCATCATGCTATTGGGTACGTTTCGATTATTTCTAGACGGTAAATCTAGTGTCTAGTGAAGAAGTCGATAGTGAAATCATCGTTTATTTTAAGTTTGAACGACTTAGGAACTAATCTAGCAACAGCACTGTTCGACAAGGACTGCTGACTCAACTATGCTGCAAGATCTTGCAAACCAAGATCTTCTGAGTGGATAAAAGTGATCGGAATAAAATGTTGAATAAATATAAGATTAGATCCATTGTCATAGAATGATGTAACGCGTAGTTAAAGATGTATTTGTGTGTCATTTGAATACGAGTGAATAGGAAAAACGCAGAAAAGGAAGAGAGACTTTCTTTATCGTCTTTGCGAGAAAGTTATCACGACGATCAACTAGTTTTTGTAACAGTAGTTTCAACAAGTTTCTTGTTTTTGTAAAAGTATAGAAAGACGTTCTAAAAATATCATCGTTCGAGTTATTTAATTAAATAATTCCTTTACGTTTCGAACTAAGTTTGTATATATTTGAATTAGGATCGAGAGAATTGTGATCAATGAAACGTTCGAATTTTCTGTCAGATAGGGATCGATCTCAGGAAATAATTGTTCCTAAAAATAAATTGTGAAAAATTATCAATTGTTAAAACAAAAAATGTCCATTTTTCCAAAGCAAGATAAATAATGTAAAGTAATCAGTTAACGAACATATCAACTGAATTTATATGTTTATTGCTTCAAAAGTTTACCTAACTAGTAATACTAAACAAGTTATATATGTATATTAATCTCGAGATATCTCATTAAGTCCATCCCATTAGACCAGTTCTAAACAAACATCTCAATCAACTATCAAAGCAAAATTTCCAGTTAAACGAGGTCTAATAAATTGAAATTAATATTTTCAGGTAACAAGTCGGACTGCGGAACTGAACGAGTGGTGAAGAGGGAAGACGGTGAACGGTTAGCGCAAGAGTACAAAGTTCCCTTTATGGAAACCTCAGCTAAAACCGGCCTGAACGTTGAATTGGCCTTCTTGGCCGTTGCTAGGTACTTCTGAATCCTTCCATCAATCGTCATCGATTTATCATTATTCATTAATAGAACGATAAATAAATGAAACATGTGGGACTCTAATTAGAAATGAAACTTCGCAACAGCATAGTGCAATTGATTAACTGTCAAAATTAAAAAAAAAAAAATAAGATAAACGAAACGACGTTGTTGCTATTTTGATGACGCTATGTGATTTGGCAGTTTTATAATTGTATATATTATAATAT